ACTAGCACAAAGCCCAATGTGGGGCTCAGTCTCACAACCCTGAGATCATGACCTGAGCCAAAATCAAGAGTCAGATGCTTAACTCCCTGAGCCACCCAGGACCCCTGCCTAGTAAGCAATTTAACTGGGAATTTGCACATAAACTTGAAGTCCAGTCCATTACATTACATAGTATAGAACTAAATTCCGATTGTGAATTTTAAATGCTGAGAGGCAATACTTAGAACTGATGTGAGTTATATCATATTTAGCCAAATTAAGTCAATTTGGTGAAATCAAAATTCTTACAGTCTATTGAGAACTTTGAAAAGGCTAAATCAGCAATGATGTCAAATCATATATAGCGTCTAATAAAGTAACACCATTTAATATATGTTTGGGGGGACTTAAAAGTCTTGAAGGAGCAGGAAGACACATAGCCAGAGTCTGTGTGGAGGGTGTACACATGAGACTGCCTTAAATACCCTTTTTATGTGATGTATAGTCTAAAGCTTTCCCTAGGCTTCAAATTCTTTTTTTTAATCTTTTATTTTATTTATTTATTTTTAAAGACTTTATTTCTTTATTCGACAGAGAAAGACACAACGAGAGAGGGAACACAAGCAGGGGGAGGGGGAGAGGGAGAAGCAGGCCTCCCGCAGAGCAGGGAGCCCGATGCGGGGCTCGACCCCAGGACTCCGGGATCATGACCTGAGCCAAAGGCAGACGCTTACCGACTGAGCCACCCAGGTGCAAGATGCTAGGCTTCAAATTCTTAGCATCTTATGTCGTCAAGATCTTTTTCCATATGAACCTGTACAGTAGCACATTATTTTTTTTCACCCAGACTGAACCCAAATAACTCATCCTTTTCCCTAGTCTGAAAAAAAAATCCATATATAATACCTTTTAACAAATATTAATGAAAAATTGTGAATATCAGGGAGAAATCACAGAAAGTAATTATCCCTTACTGTCCATTCTTGTTATTCATCACAGCTCTTCCCAAATTGTTTCCTGGAAATCCAAATATTCTTCCTTTATTCATGAGAACAGTTCAATCTCCAAATTTGCACAACCACTCACATTAAGTTTCATTCTCAACAAAACAAAGGAAGGTAATTTGACTCATTATTCTTAGAAACCTGGTAAAATTAGAAATGAATATTTTCTGCCAATACACTACCAGTGCTCTAACAGGATATACTACAGCTCTGGCATAGGATAAATTGTAGGAATCATAAGATGGAGTCAGGAGATGAGTATGTGTGTTGTGGGAGGAAGGGGGGATATTCCACACATATAGAACAGAACAAATAATGATACAGTGTCCCTTTTAGCTGGAGTGTGTAGCTATGTGTGTATGGCATATGAGTTGAGAGGTTCAGGAGAGAGAAAATAAAACATAAACCCACACAGATAGTAAAGGACCAGGTCATAAAGAATATTGCTTATTCTGTCAAAATATTTGAATTGAATCCCACAAGTCATCTATTCTCAGTCATAGGAATGAATTGCAGTAAGCACTGAAAATAAATATTGCCATTAATACTAATAAGCCAAAGTACGAATGTATTTTTCTATTCCTTACAGTTCATGTTTTGCCCATGAGAGTCTCATTCAGCATTACAAACTCTCTGTTGAGTAGGCAAAAATAAACACTCATTAAGGCTAGCATACTGCTATGTGTTCATAACCCTATATGTTCCCAGGGATGTTTCTTTCATGTGAAAATCATCCATTCTGTGCACCACAGTAGAAAACAAATATTGAGAAGCAATGTTTTGCGTATTAAGAATTTTAGGCATGGAAAGACAAATGATGTGTTAGATCTTTTAGAAGGATCATTCTAGCAGTGAAAGGAAACTGGACCTACTTAGCAGCATATTGAAATAAACCCAAAAGAAAAGTGGTAAAGACTAAGGTAGTAGGAACAGAAATTTTAAAAAAGGGAAATACATGAAAGCTTTTGTGAAGATAGGGCTGACAGGATTGGACTGAAGGGCAGATTGGTTGTGGAAGGGTAAGAGAGAGGAACAATATGTTTGTTAACCCATCTTTCGGTGTTGTGTTTAAAGCCACTGAAACCCCATCACCACAACTCTTGTCAGATATGAGTCAGAGATTAGGTGGCTGAAGACCTTCAGGAGAGTTTAAGGCATTTGGGAATGAGCCAATGGAGATCCAAGGACCAATGCCCCAAAGGTGGATAAATGTCTGGTTCAAGGAAGTGCTCTATAGAAAGGGAATCCTAAGATTCCTGTAGATTTTCCTTTCACGGCTCCAAAAATCCTAAATATCACTGGAGATCTAGTCATCTCAACGATACCAAAACCAAGGTATTTCAATGATGCTGAATTATCCACTGAAACCTGTACTCTGGGGCACTTGGGTGGCTCAGTCTGTGAAGCATCTGCTTCGGCTCAGGTCATGATCCCAGGATCCTGGTATCCAGTCCCCATAGGGCTCCCTGCTCAGTGAGGAGCCTGCTTCTCCCTCTCCCTGCTGCTCCCCCTGCTTGTACTCTCTCTCTCTCTCTCTCTCTCTGAAAAATAAATAAATAAAATCTTAAAAAAAAGAAAAAAGAAAAAAACCTGTACTCTAACAAGCATCCAGTCAGTAAAACTGTCAACCTGCATGGCTAATAGTTCAAAGTCAAAAGTTTTGAGGCATTCAGATTCTCAATATGAGTGTAACTCAAAAGCCACATGAGAAAAAGGATTAAAATGTAGGTAGCTTATCAGTGTTGACTTTGGAGGGATATGGTTTTATGGACTCTAGCTCCTGGATTAGCTGTGAATAAATGAAATATCTACTTTTTGATGTACCTATTGATATGAGATGATGCAAACAATTTTATCAACTTCAAGAGCAAAATATATGTGAATTTTTTTTCAGTTTGTATTCAGTTCCAGATAATAATTTTAAAGAAATCTATTCATTATTTATTCAGGGTAGATTCTAGAACCAACTTTAAATCTACAAATTACTCATGCTCTTCTGCTTAGTGAGTTTATGAAGCAGTTTATTCTGTCCTTCAAAAAGGGAGTATTTTGTATTCCTCTGTCAAAACCTAAATTCACAAATGACTAGAAGCAAAGATTATATTTTGATTACCTTGTGGTAAGAATTTAAATTGAAATGACAGGCATTAGAATTTATTTTGCCTTAGACAAGTGATACTATTTCTAAATCTGTCAATTTTCAGAGCAAGAAAAATAAAATAATTTTACCATACACACATTATTTTTCATGTCACACCAGAAAGTGTCCAATTTTTCAAAATTTCCAATTTGCTCTAAGATGTGAAAAATTAGGAACATGTATATAAAAAATAACATTGCTTTAAAAGGCAAAATGCTCAAAAACACCTGAAACAAAAGTCTCTGACTCTTTCAAAAGATTTAACTACTGTTACTGTGTTAATTTAAAATAAATCTTAAAAATTAGTAAAATAAATTACATTCAGTTAACTAAGCAATCTATATTTATTAAGAACATGCTATTTGTCTCAGTTCAGGGGTGCACTGAATTTCAACCGGGTTTCCAAATTAGCTACCTCTGCCACCTGTATAACTTCTTTTTGTTTCATCCTTCACATTGCTATAGAGTGTTACTACTAGAACTCAAATCAGATTATTTTACTCTCACAAGAGAGTCTTGAGACACTGTGCTCCCATTTCCCAGATCACTTACTTGTTCATACATATGGCTGGAAAAAATTGTGCCCTATCAAACCAGGAACATCTCTCTCTCCTGCACCCTCTTCTCCAGGGTAATTTTTGTTTGTCTGTCTCATTTATTTGTCTCTGTTCAGTTTTCCTAATACAAACCAACAAATATGACAAATATAATGAATAAAAGAATCTGCTTAATTCATGTATATCCTGTATTTGTAAAAAAAAAAAAAGTTTATCATATTTATTGCGTATAAAGCCAGGTCATTCAGCCAACAATCTCATTTTTTTAAGAAATCATTTAACTTAAGTGACATCACCAGTAGATGAAAACATTTTTTTTAAGATTTTATTTATTTGACAGAAAGAGACACAGCGAGAGAGGGAACACAAGCAGGGGGAGTGGGAGAAGGAAAAGCAGGCTTCCCGCTGAGCAGGGAGCCTGATGTGGGGCTCCATCCCAGGACCCTGGGATCATGACCTGAGCTGAAGGCAGACACTTAACCACTGAGCCACGTAGGCGCCCCTAGATGAAAACATTTTAAAAAGAAGTCTCCCTACATAGAAAATCATGGTATAGATTTGATATACTGTAATCAAGGGACATAAAATATAATTAGAGGGACAAGAAATGTAGCCAAAGAATAACTACTTGGTACAGCACTATGTTATAAAATAACATGTACTATGTATTACGTAGTGAAATTCCTAGTTTTAAGAATAGGTAATGGGCGCCTGGGTGGCTCAGTTGGTTAAGCGACTGCCTTCAGCTCAAGTCATGATCCTGGAGTCCCGGGATCGAGTCCCACATCGGGCTTCCTGCTCAGCAGGGAGTCTGCTTCTCCCTCTGACCCTCTTCCCTCTCGTGCTCTCTATCTCTCATTCTCTCTCTCTCAAATAAATAAAATCTTAAAAAAAAAAAAGAATAGGTAGCAAATGGGAAAACATAAGGTACTGATTTTAAATACAAATGCAGTAAGTTCTAGGGAGTTAGTAAAAGAAGTGGTCAGATAGATTCATTTCATCAGAGACTGATGTTGGATATTAAGGAATGCACAGACTATGGTTGAGCACAAATTTTGGAAAAAAATATCCAAAGGAAAGATCAAATTACCTTAAAATAGATGAATATATATCTATAGGTATGTCGTAGTCATTTGAAAAAGTTTTATGGCCCAAAACAATCTTTTTTCAAATAACTGCTTGATTCAGGGAACAAAATTAAAACTGATAATTGACTGTTTCAATAGACTTAACTGGTCAGTTTAGTCAAAATGATCATTAAAAAACTGGTGATTGCCAGGGACTGGCTGGAGTGTGGGGGAGGGGAGGGGGGATTGGGAGATGCTGGTCACAGAGTACAAACTTACAGTTATAAGGAAAAAGTTTGAGGATCTAATGTACAGCATGGTGATTTTAGTTAACAATACTATATTGTATACTTGAAAGTTTCTAAGAGTAGCTCTTAAATGTTCTCATCAGAAAAAAAAAGGGCAACTGTGAGGTGATAAATATGTTAATCAGCCTTATTGTGGTAATCATTTCATAATATATACATATTAAATCATGTTATACAAATTAAATTTACACAGTTATATATCAATGACCTCTTAATAAAGCTAGAAAAATATTGTCATTAAAAGACAAAATCAGTGTTCCAATGACAAAATAAGTAAAAAGAACATTAAGTATGTACCTTATATGGAATAATGTTGCTGACCTGAGCTTAAATGAAACATAATAATTGGCATAAAAATAATGGTTTACTATTATATTTAAATAGTAAATATATTCAAATGGTCTTAATAGAGTCCCAGTGGAAAAGGTTAGTGGATAAAGGAGATAACACTCATATTGTCTAATATATAGCTCGCAGAAGTGAGGATTGGCTCAAGAGAACTTAGTCTCTAGATCATCTCCAATAAACTTGAATATCCAAAGCAAACTGCATGCACTTTAGCAATGTAAGATGCAGACCATACTTATTTTAATTACATATATCTATCCATACAGGCATTTAAAAAGTATGTTTCATTAACACGGCTGAACTTAAGAAAATATGGATATATCACAATTATTATATGGTTCCCAGGCTACTTCAAATAGACAACTTCATCATCATTAATATTAATCAAATGAAATCCAAACTGATTTTTTTTTTTAGTTTTAACTCAAGTGAACAATGTCCTTAGTCCCTCAAAATCTTTTCATAAATATTTTGGTGTTAGTATACATATATTTCTTGGACTAGACATTATGGTGCCATCTTCTTCTCATTAATTAATTTTCTACTGTAAGAAAATGGGCACTAGAAAACTTCATCTTCCGCTAAGATACTATTCTTGTAGAAGAACTTGGTGAATGCCTGAGTTCTCAAGGCCTAGTAGACCCATTTGCTATGGGAAGACATTTTTTCCCAATGTTTCTGGGCACACTGACAACAAACAGGGGAGAGGGACCATTCTTAATAAATTTTGATTGATAGTTCTCTTGTGGTGAGTATGATGATATGGTACCTAGTCCTGGCTGGCTCTGTCTGAAATAATAGACCACGTGAATTCAAAGTCTAACATAAGTGTTCTGCTATTTTATTATTAGCAAGAAAGAAAATTTAAATTGAATGTCAGTCAGGTTTTTATGTTTTCCTCTGCAGCTGCAAGCTTCAGCTAAAAAAATCTCTGCCCTATCTATATCACCTAGATTTTTATGAATCTCACAACCCAAATTCAAATATTTCGATTTTTTTAGTATGATTTTAGGGACCCTAGTGTGTGAAAAAGCTATGGTGGCAAGTGCCACTTCTAATCGATATAAATGTCATGAATTCCAATAGAATTCTCCTTTCAGTTTCTTTAAATAGCCACAAATTCCTAAGAAAATGTTTACAGTTTATTACCAAGATTTATATTTATTTGACTCTCACATTTTCCACTATTGGTTCTAGTATCTCAAATTCCTAGATGAATAAGAGAGCCAATATAATAGAGGCCATTGGATTAAAAGAAATTCAACCAAATTTGCTCCATACAATTAATGCATTTGTTTAATAAATTTGTGTGTCTTAAACACATAGAATGTTTTTGTTTTATCTGCAAAAAAATGTTGAAATCTTTCTTATAAAATACTACAATCTCTTTCTCATTGACTATTCCCACCAGGTGCAAGGAACCATTTTCCCAGCTCCCAATTTCAATCCCATAATGGATGCCCAAATGCTAGGGGGAGCACTCCAAGGATTTGGTAAGCCTGATTATTTCCATTATCTTTTGTTGTAATTTTTTTTCACTTTACCTTGTTTTAAGATTGTAATATGGGTGTAAATAGCTGATGTCTAACAGAAGGCAAACACAGATTAAAACAAAAATCTGGGCAAAGAAATAGAATAAGAAGAAAAATAATAGAAAAGGACAATAATGGTAAGCCAATTTGCTCTCTCAACTGCAACTCTGATCTTGACATGTTTTTGCCTTAAATCCTTAAATGTCTCAACACTAACTACATTAAATGAAATCCCAAACCAAAAATCATCCTAGGAAAAAACTTCCTTCTTTGACCTTGTTTGTTTACTAGCCTTTTTTTTTTTTTTTTTTGCTACTTCCATTTCCAGCCAAATCAAACTTCCTGCTATTCCCCAAATTGGATCTGACTAGTCCAATAATCCCCTGCCCGGAATGCTATTTTCTTCTGTTATTTTGCATCCAAATTCTTTTCAAGATTCTCTTCAAATAATTCTTCCTCTTTGACTCATACTTTGGGCACTCCAAACTCAACCAGCCATGCCAACCCCCAGGGCACCCTCTTCTGCACTCTTGTGTCACTGATCTCATTTTCATTGTACTTGTCCTTTGTGTCACCTCGGACTTCAGAGAGCTCCCAGAATGTGGTGTCTGGCATGCAGGTGCTTAATAAATGGATGTTCAATGAATGAAACTAGAGTTTAGAAAAGGACTGTAGAGATAAGGGAGGAAAACTGTTGAGTTCTTTTAAAAAAAAGATTTAATCTTTAAGAAATGAAATGGAGCTGGTAAACATCCATATATTTTCCTTAACTAAAACCTGTTTTAAGACTTCTGATGAGTATGAAGATAAACACTGAAATTTTGCATAAAACATGCAAAGCCTTTCATAAGAAACAAGCTCTTAACTTTAAAGACAAAGTTGCCTTTATGATAACTACGCTTTGTGTGTGTGCATATGTATGCGTACGTGAGCATGAACACATGCATGCATGCTCATTTTTGTGTTTTATTCACCAGCAGAATCTCACAGGAAAACAATAAAGGACTTTAAATATGCTCTCTAAAGCTGACTTGAGGAGTTTGCAATGCTTTCATGCCTTTTAAAATATCAGGCATCACTAGAAAAATAGAGACAAGTTAACAAAAAGTTATGGATTAACTTTGTCTTCAGGAGAGTAATTTTTGCTTTAAAACTATACATCAATCTATTCACTGAAAAAATTTTTCTTTGCTCCAGTTTCAATTCTCCTGTCATAACAACTTTAGGGTCAGAATGTAGGTTCAATTTGACCATTGTAATTTTTTGCTTGTCAGTGTTTTAGACTGAAGAATTCCAGGAGGTTTAGGGTTTGATCACATACTGTCCACTCCAGCATGCCACAGCAAGAACACATCTCAAAATGCTTTAAAGTCTGTCCAACCTGATGACCCTGGCACAGGAGAGACAGAGAGAATCACATTTTCTTTATCTTTTCATCTGTTGATGGAACTTCAGTGGTTTGCTCTACAGTGAATATGGAGGTGCAGATATCTTTATGAGATAATGATTTCATTTACTTTAGATAAAACACCCAGAAGTAGGATTGCTGTATCATTCTGTTTTTAATTTTTTGAGGAACTTCCACACTGTTTTCCATTGTGGCTGTACCAATTTACATTCCTACCAATGGGAATTCCCTTTTCTCCACATTTCTTCTTGTCTTTTTGATAATAGTCATTCTAACAGGTGTAAAGTGATATTTCATTATAGTTTTGATTTGCATTTCCCTGATGATTAGTGATATTGAGCAGCTTTTCATGTACTTATGGACCATTTGTGTGTCTTCTTTAGAAAAATATCTGTTCAGGTTCTTTGCCCATTTTTAATTAGATTATTTGGTTTTTGCTATTGAGTTGTATGAGATTCTTATGTATTTTAGATATTAATCCCTTATCAGGTATATGGTTTGCAAATATTTTCTCCCTTTCTGTAGATTGCTTTTTCATTCTGTTATTTCTTTTGCTCTTCAGAAGCTTTCTAGTTTGATGAAGTAGTTCCACTTGTTGATTTTTGACTTGGCTACTGTGTTTTACTTAGAAAAATCAGAAAGCGAAAAAATACTCTAAAGCAAACAAAAATGAGTAGTTTTAACAAAAATTGTCTTAAATTATATAAAAATTCACCAATCACACTAAAAAGGAATAACTCTCAGTTAATATTCCTTAATAGTGCAGTCCAGTATCCTTACCATTAGAAGCTACTTTCCCAGTCTGTGCAGTCTTAGAATAACTGTGTTTATTTTGTCTCAATTAACATATGTATTTCCCAAATCATCCCTGTGAGATGCTAGACAACTGGAATTATTTTTAACCTACATGCCTAATTCTTGACAAAGCAACATCAAGTCAAAATCTTTTTTGAAATAGTCAGTGCTATTTAGAGTGGACATCCTTGCTTTGTTCCTTATCTTTGTCCCTATTAAGTATATGTTCCCTATAGGTTTTGCTGAGAGTTTTCATCTTAAACAGGTGTTAGATTTTGTCAAATGCTTTTTTTTCATCTGTTGATACAGTCAACAGTTTCTATTCTTTATTCTATTGATGTAATAAATTATGTTAATTGATTTCCAAATGTTGAGATAAGACTTGCATACCTGAAAGAAACACCACTTGGTCATAATGCACATTCTTTTTATACAGTATTGAATTCAATTTGCCAATATTTTTGAAGAATTTTTACATCTCTGTTCATGACAGATATTGGTCTGTAGTTTTCCTTTCTTGTAATGCTTTCCTGGTTTTGGTAGTAGGGTAATGCTGACCTCATAGGATGATTTAGGAAATATTGCCTCTGCTTATATCTTCCGGAAGAGACCGTAAACAAACAAAAAAATCATAAAATTTTATTCTTCAAAAGTTTGGTAGAGTTCACCAGTGAACCCATCAGGGCCAGGTGCTTTCTGTCTTGACAAGTTATTTAATATGTGTTTAACTTCTTTAATAGATATAGGCCTATTCATATTGTCTATTTCTCTTTGTGTAAGTTTGGGTAGATTGTGTCTTTGAAGAAATTGATCCATTTCATCTACAGTATCAAATTTATGGGCACAGGGTTGTTCTTAGTATTCCTTTCTTATCCTTTTCATATCCATAGTATCTGTAGCAATGTACCCTCTTTCATTTCTGATATGAGTAACTGTATCTTTTCTCTTTTTTTGTTAGTTAACCTGGCTAGGGGATTATCAATTTTATTGATTTTTTCAAAGAATGAGCTTTCAGGTTAATTGATTTTCTCTATAAATTTCCTGTTTCAATTGAATTTATTTCTACTCTAATTTTCATTGTTTATTTGCTTTGGCTTACTTTAGACTTAATTCATTCTTTTATTTAGTTTCCTAAGGTGGAAGTTTATATTAGTGCTTTTAGGTATTTATTTCCCACATATTTATTCAAGGCCATAAATTTTCCTCTAAGCATTTCATTTGCTGCATCTCACAAATTTAATAGTTTATATTTTCATTTTCAAATTAGTTTGATTTTTTTTTAATTTTCTTGAGCGTTTTTTGTGTTATTTGCAAGTGTGTTGTTTAAGCTCCAAGAATTTTAGGTTTTCCATCTATCTTTCTGTTATTGATTTCTGGTTTAATGCCACTGTGGTCTGAGAGCTTATTTTGCATGGTTTCTATTATTTTACACTGGTTAAGGTATATTTTATGTAGTCTATCTTAGTATTACATGTGAGCTTGAGAACAACAACCTGTTGTTGTTGAAGTATTCTATAGATATCAATTATATCAAGTTGATTGATGATGTTACTGATTTCAAACATGTGCTTATAAGTTTTCTGCCTGCTGGATCTGTCCATTTATGATAAAGAGGTACTAAATTCCTGATAAAATAGTGGATTCATCTGTTTCTTCTAGCAGTTCTATCAGTTTTTAACTCATGTATTTTGATGCTCTTTTATTGGGCTCACACATATGAAGATTTATAATATCATCTTGGAGAAGTGGCCCCTTTATCATTATGTAATGGTTCTTTTCATCCCTGATAATTTTCCTTCTTCTGAAGTTTTTTGTATTAAAATTAATATAGCTACTCCAGCTTTTTTTTCAGTATGTTAGCATAGTATATCTTCCTCTATTCCATTATAATCTATCTGTGTAGATCACTCAGTGCTATTTAGATATAATTTGAAATTTTAGTAATAATTATTTTCCTGCTTAGTAGACCACTTTTACCTACTTGACCATATAATCAATGTTTATTATTCACAGATTCCACATATGCTAATTTGTCTACTTGTAAAATTCATTCATAACACCAAAATCAACATTTGCAGGACTTTCATGGTCATAAACAGGAATATGCAGAGAGGTGTAAACTTTGAGTCATCAGAGCACATATTCCAGCTGAGATTAGACAAGATGATGCTTTTCCTTCTTGTTTCAGCTCTTACACTATTAACAAGTGTCCTTTTTGTGGTTTATTTAATGCTCCAATTTTTTTGTATCTTTATGCTCTTTGTTCGTGATTGTGTTCTTTTAAACGCCCTCCAAATGTTGTGATGAAGTGCTGTCAAATGTTCCCAAGCACAAGAAGAAATATTACAGAGAAAATATGTGCATCAATAAGCTTCATTCAGACATTAGTTCTAATGCTGTTGGCCATGAGATTAATGTTAATAAATCACCAATATAGTACATCCAGAAAAAAAGATAAAATTCACTGTCTATGCATGAAGCTGCCCAGAAAAATGCTAAAGTAAAATCTGTTCTAAGTTATAAAGCTGTGGAAAAGCAGCTAAATTTCTGAGTTCATGACAAAAAACTAATAATATAAAAAGTGTAGTGATCAGCTTTCTCTTGAAAGTAGTGATAGATGCCTTGCATGTTTCAAAAGGTGATACAGTGGGGGAAGGGGCAAGATGACAGAGGAGTAGGAGACCTAAATTTCGTCTGGTCCCAGGAATTCAGCTAGATAGTTATCAAACCATTCAGAACACCTACGAACTCAACAGGA